CAAAGCACGGACCTTACGCACCCAAATCTCCGTAGCCATTTCCCTAACAGAGCTTTGTTAAACATTTCCAAAGCTACTTGCTCAAGCCCTATCAAGGTATGGAGAACAATAGACATCCTATTTGCCATATTTTTAGTATTAACCTTATAGATAGTATTGCAGAGGGAAATATGTCTGTAATCTCCAAAGCTCATGATCTGATTCTCATGGAATAAACTTGTCGTTGCATCTTTCTTGCTTTACCCACTTAATGGGGGAAGGCCTTAATTTTATATGATTTTCTTTTAGAAGTTAGAAAGTGTCAGCTCTCTTGTGAATAGATAAAAGTTGAAATTGGACATTTAGAATGTCCTCATCCTACTTGAAATAAGGTTTTCAGAATGTTTTAGAAATGGTTCTCTATCAGTTTATGCTCAAGTTACTAGAAATTCCTGAATGCTTTTTCAATAAATATTTGAAAATCTCGAAAAGTTATATATTATATTAATATATAATGTATAAATTTGTGGAGTTTGTTTTAACATGTCTAGAGACTTCATATACACCTTGGAATAGTGTTTAATTGAGTAAAGAGGTTTGTCTGTAATTTATTGTTTATAATTTGTCTCTCGCTTCATTACTGTGGCAGTGCTTGTAATCCATTCACTTCGAGCTGTCTGGTCTACAAATTATAGCATACTTTCTGATGCCTTATTGAGTTTGATGGTTATAACTAGCGTCTTGAAGGTATTTTTTATTTATTTATTTATCTTTTATTGTGGGTTGGGGTAAATTGATTCTAGTCACGTTGACATTTTTGCATTAGTTTGAGATAGGAAAAAAATCATTTTATACCTTCATTTTATTTTTTGGATTTTTTTTTTTTTTTTTCTTGTTTATTGGATGCTAATTAAGTATATGATAAGATATATTTGCATATATCTTCCCTTCTTGACTATATTGTCTATCATACTCCGGATAGTTGACCATATATAGCAATATGGTGGCAATTTTGTGTTGCATCAGTAAATAGTAAGAGTTGAAAAGTAGAGGTAAAGTACCTGTTGTATTGGGGTTATAATTTGGCATCTCTTTATCCTTTTTAAATTACAAATATTGAGCTGCATGTATGGATTAATACATTGGTTGAAATAAATATTTTGCTGACCCATCCTCTGTCAGATCCTGTTAGTGGGCGATCCTTAACCCTAGGCTGGTATTTAAACCATACACTAGCATGAAGCGACTTTGGCTTCTATTTACCATTTTGATAGTGTGCTATTTTTTTCTTTATTCTCCAACCTGTCATATTGTCCCATTCGAGTTGGTTGAGGGAATGGTATCTCGTACTTCATTCAAATTCATGGATTTTTGCTCCTCTAGTCCATGATGGAAAGTTGCACGTACTTTGACATATAATTTTTGTAGGCTCCTTTAGAGCTTAATTTTTGTTCGTTCCATCTTGCTTGGTTGGTTATGCTTTTGTTTTGTGCTTGTTCTGCAAAGGAATGCCTTTGCTTCTCCTTTGTACACTATTGTTATATCTATAAATTTTTCCTTTTACCGGGAAAAAATGAAAAAAAATAAAAAAGGAAATTAAGCTCCACTTGTGTTTACACCATAATTATTAGCCACTTTCCAATGGAAGGTTGCCCTGGTCGATTCCAATGGAAGGTACTACGACATTCCAGTGGAAATCACTATCTTCTAAAGACTTTGGCCGGAAACCAATCAAAATTTGACACGTTGCTTAATAAAAGGGGCATAACTATAACTATTTGCACCATAATTATCAGTCACTTTCTAATGGAAAGTTGCTGTGGCCGATTCCAATGGAAGGGTGATATGCAGACGTGGGTGCAATCATAAAACAACACGTGGATTCATTTAAGAAAGCCATTTGGTGAAGTAACCACCTTGGGACACGTGGCAGCCAAGGAAGCAACCAGTTACATGCAAGTGGAAAGTCATGGGACACATGACAGCCAAGGAAGTAAGTAGTTACATGCAAGTGGAAAATCCTGGGACACGTGGCAGGCCAAGAGGTAAGCAGTTGGAAGACATGACTTCCAAGTGGGACACGTGGCAGAATTTCCAATTGAAGAGGGATTATTCCAATGGAATGTGCAAGATTCCAGTGGAATGTCATGCGAGTAAGTAGCAGAAATGGTAGAATGTGGAAGCCAAGGAAACAACTAGTTACATGCAAGTGGAAAGTAATAGGACACGTGGCAGCCAAGAAAGCAAGCAGTTACATGCAAGTGGAAAGTCATGGGACACATGGCAGCCAAGGAACCAGGCAGTTACATGCAAGTGAAAAATCTTGGGACACGTGGCAGGCCAAGAGGTAAGTAGTTGGAAGACATGACTTACAAGTGGGACACGTGGCAGAATTTCCAATTGAAGAGGGATTATTCCAATGGAATGTGCAAGATTCCAGTGGAATGTCATGCTAATAAGTAACAGAAATGGCAGAACGTGGACTAGAACGTGGCTTCAAGTTGAACGGACAACCTGGAAGCGTGGGACACGTGGAGGATTTCTATTGGACGAGCGGTTATTCCTGGCCAGTGGAAAGTCATGCTGAAAGTGGCAAAAATGTAGGAAAACATGGTCCTACACGTGTACGCACTATAAAGGCTAAAGAATGCAGTAGGACACGGACACATGGCATGAATCCAACCAATCCACTTGGGGACATCTAAAGTTGGCAATGAAACTGCCCATGCTAACTGCCATTACCAAATTCTATAAATAGGGCATGTTATTGTTACTTAAAGTCTCTCCTCAACACACACACAACTACAACACTCCATTTATCTTTCAATTCCTGCAATTGTCCTTCATTTTATATTTCAATTCATGCAATGTACTTCAATTATCTTCATTAATGCAAGTTATCTTTCAGCACTTTACTTTCCAAGCCATGCACCTTCAGTTCATTACTTTCAGTCTAGCACTTCAAATCCTTCATTTCCAGCCATAAGAAAATCTCGAAGTCCTTTGTCACTAAAGGCAAAAAAGAACCTTTGGAGATGGTCATTCCAGACCTCCTTTCAGTCGCCTAATCCATTCCATTTTCATCTGGAATATAGTTTGGACTCACTCGGAACTTCCTGAGTTCCTAGCACGGCCATAGTTGTTAAAGGCTCAAGGCACCCAAAAGCACAAATACCTCCTGGAGCTTGAGGCGCAAGGCGCAAGGCGAGGCGTGCGCCCGACTGAAGCAAGGCGCATGTTGAAAAAAAAAAATCAAAACCCACCTATGTGACAGGACTTATTAATATACCTTGGGCTCAATTCCTAAACTCATGGTTAATCAGACAATACAAGCCTATTCATCCATTAATATTTAATATAGATAATACACATTATGAATTCTTTTTAAGTATTTTTTTATTGCTATAGCAACTAAGTGACATGACTTATTACAACCTCGGGCTCAATCCCTAAACTCATGGTCAATCCAAAACTGAGACAACATATACAATCCAATTCATCCATTAATATAGACAATACTCCAAGCAAGTAATAATTAATTATTTGTACTAATTGAAACGTGTTAAACAAAAATGTAAATCCAAGAGAACTTCAGTCAGAAACTACTACAGTTGAAAGAACCCTCGGACACTGAAAGAACCCAAAACCAGAGGTGACATATTAAACACTAGACACTAGACATATTAAATTTGAGATTGAAATAAAACTCAAGAAAAAAAAATAAAAAGCAGAAGAAAAAGAAGAATAAAACTGGAGAAAAAATAAAAAAATAAATAAGTAAAAAGAAGAAGAAAAATAAAAAAATAAAAATCTGCCAGACTCTCGAGAGAGCCGAGACTCGAGAGAAGAAGAAGAAAAGAAGAAAAAGAAGAGAAGAAGAAGAAAAGAAAGAAAAAAAAAAATCTGAGCAGATCCAAGAAGAGGAGGAGGAGGGAAGAAGAAGAGAAGAAGAAGAAGAGAGAGAAGAACTTACCTGCTGGCCGAGCCGCCAACGCAGATCCGACGCAGATCCGAGAGTCTGAGTGCCGCAGCGAGCCTCTGTCTTCTACTCTTCTTTCCTTTTCTTTTTTGCTTTTTTTTTTTTTTTTTGTCTTTTATGTTGTAACTTGTAGACTTGTAGGCATTCTATTATATTGACTAATAAAATAATAATATTCTATTATACATAAACAATAAACAAAGTTACAAAACCAAAAAAAAAAAGAAAAGAAGTAAAAAACGATTTTTTCAAGCAGGCGCGCTAACGCCTTGGTGGGAAAGGTGCACGCCTTACATAACTCAGCCGCCTTAAGTGTACTCAAGGCGACAACAAGGCGCCTGGAGGCGCATTGCGCCTCCGGCGCCTTTGACAACTATGAGCACGCCCGCACTTCCACCAGACCAGCAGAAGACATATTTTACAAGCATTGACATGATATTCTTAATGCTATCAGGAAAATTTGGTGGGTCAGAGTGACGAGGGATTAGAACAGTGAAGGTTAATGTGGTGGAGAATGTTCTACACAAAACGATAGTTACTGAGTTGGCTATAATCTAGTATGAAGGATCTATATTTTACCTTCCAAATATCTATGATGATGGAATTTTAAAAGTGAGCTTACTTCATAAGTCACCTAAGAATTGTTCTAATATATACACACACATTAAATCTGCTGTGTGTTAGTCCCAAATCAACAACCATGGAACTGACCTTCAAATGGCTCCAGAGAAGAATATACTGAAGCCAAATGGATGATGGCTGTTGTTACATTGGTGTGATAGTATTATTGCTTGTCATGAAAAAAATTCTGCTGGCCAATTGAGGTTGTTATCCTTATTTAGTAATCACAAGACAGATCTATACTATGTTTGGAAACTAGCATGTTGGGAAAAATGGTACTCATATCCTCCGTCATGTAGGCTTTAATTATGTAATTCCTATCCCGTGGCTTCAAAATATATGTTGCATTTGTAATGTGCGCGCGAGACTATTGTGTAAAATTTGATAAGAGAACTAATGAAAGTCATGTATTTTCTTTCAGGTATTTCACTAAGCATGGATCAGGTACGTGGCATTTTCTTTTTAATTTGATATTATTGAAGGAATTTTATTTATTTATTTATTTTTATTTTAATTACTTTTGCTCACTCCTTGTGTAGTGGGATGTACTTCGAGATCATGTGGATGTGATTGACAAGGCTGTTGCTGAGAATAGCTAGGATGCCAGTGGTTATGGGTTTTGCATAATATGACTGAATGAAGTAGAAATTGTAAATGGAACTGCTGTTTTTTGTCGTCAAGTAACTGAAACGGAATGGTGAAATGATCGTGCCCGTGTTTTGCTTACTTTGGAAGTGTAACGAAGGAATTGAAACTAAGTAATGTTTAGGTAACTTGATAATACATATTTATGTGTAAGGCGCAACTTGACTTGTAGTGTCTTGTTATGTTATGTTGGCTGGAGTTTTTCAACAGAAGCACTCTTTTGTCAATCGTCTGGAGAACTTTTGACCGTTGCTGATGCATTATCAAAATATTCAGTCAGCTACTACCACCAAGCTGGTGCTATAGTTTTCTTGCTTTCAGGCATTACTTTTGGTGGGTTTTACTAATCCCTTCGAATTGCAATTAATCAAATCTGTTGAACGTTGTTTAGCATTGTTGATTGATTGTGTTAGTATCATGTTTGCTGACTCCTAACTTGATAAAATAATTTGGATTTGTTTTTTCTTTACTCCCGTTCTTAAAATTGGACGGTTCCATGCTCTGAACTGGCACAAAGCATTTTATCATAATTTCATTTTTTTGAAACTAGTAATTTCTTTGTTGTTGATCATAGTAGTGATCTAAATAAATGCTTGGGACGTTTGAATGTTGCCACGCTGGATCTTTTGGTGGTGGTTATTTTGCTGGATAAACCTACTTGAGAACACTGTAGGTGACCTAGCTCCAACCTGGTTGCTTGCTTGATTTTATTGTAGCCTTTGAATTTTAGAGAGGATATGTATATATATATATATATATATATATATATATATATATATATATAGTCGGTTGTTTCGTTGGAGAAGGAAACCTCCCGGGTAGGAGGCAAGTATTGTCCTTTTTATTAAATGTTTTTCTGGTGGATCTTCCCCTCATAAATCCAAAGGCATTGTTGGAATGGAGTTGATTCCTTCCAAATTTGCATGGTTCATTGAAACCAATAATAAAAACAAAAAGAGAGAATTCTACCAAATATCAAGTCTTTGAAATGCAAATAAAATGAAATTCCTTAAAATTCTTGCACAACATTTTAGTTATCCAATCTGAATTAGCTAAAAGTTTAGTTCCTCTTTCCAATATATTGCCACCATTATTAACTAATGGGAAAGTAACACGTGTATGTGTTTATATGAACTAAACAAACAAGTACATGTTAAAAAATACTTCAAATTTTGATTGGAACATTAGGATTTGACACAATAACAAATAGATAACGTACCAATCCATAATTTTGAGCTAATGATAGGTTCCCAGTTCATCAAAATATAAATGCTTAAGCATATCGGCTGGGGGGAAAAAATAAAATAAAAATAAAAATAAAAAATTGGTTCTGTTTCATTTTATATTAATTTGAAGAGACCAAACAATTTGGCTTCCTGGAGGCTGCATAAACAATACACACTTCTTTTATCCCCATGTGGGAATAATTACCATCGACCCCTTTGATGACTGGCTTTTAACACATCTCCCCCACAAATTTACCTGTATAACACATTGCAGAGGAATGAATATATGATGTAGTGCCTTCCTCTTTCCTTCTTTTCCTTCCACACATTTTTTGTCTCTACTTTGCCCCAGCTATTTATTTAAAATAGAAAGAAAACCGTATTGGGTACTAACCAAAAAAAAAAAAGTCTTGGATAACCAGCAATGACCTAGGAATTATATTTTAACCAAAATAAGAAGAATATTTAATTGGCATCATCAACCGAGGGCTATCTTTAAATTCCAGCCAAGAAACCAATCCTGCAGTTTCACAGTAATTGTGTTTAGGGGTACATGAGACTATGAGTACAGAAAGGATATGCATTTCAATTGGTAGTCTAAAAAGACAATCATTTGATTGTGCTTTTGCAGGGCATACGAAGCAGAAATGAATTTTTTCAATGGGCGCATAATGGCAGTACCAAATGAAAAACTGAGCTATTGAATTGAACTTTCTTGTTTATTGCAATTTCACATTTTATACGAGTAACTTTTAGCTTTTTTTTTTGTTACATACACAAGGGCAGGCCATCATTTCCACTCATGGTCAGCGCACCCGTAAAGTTTTGGTCTTTTTCAAATGTAGTCATTTCAAATTAAAGAATTATTTTTGTTTCCCAGTGGTGTCCGAATAATATCTAAGCTGAACTGAAAATATAAGATTCTATTGTTCATCTTACCTTTTCCTTTTCTGGTACAATCACTAGAGAGCGGGGATGCTGAGAGACCCAACATTAAGCAATCTTGGCAGTATCTATAACAACAAAGCAAAGGATACAAGAATCATAAGAGCTGTCTACCAGTGTGAATAATTTGTCTGCTAAGGTGCTTTCAGAGAACCGTACCTCTCCCAGTCGAGCATTGATTTTCAAAGGCACAAAATCATCAGCCCGGGTTACACCTACATTTACAATTGCAGTAGCAGCACCTGCCTCATGAGCAGTCCTGTAGAAATCAATTTGAAGAGCTTTATCAACCTGATATAATAAATAATTTGAAAAAAAAATGCATGGATGATATCCTTTTGTTTTCTTTTCCTTGTGCATTTTAAATATAAAAGAGATAGGACACAATAAAAAAAATTTCCTCCCCACTACATGTGAATCAAGGTTCAAGCTGAATGATTTTGATGGGGAAAATCTCATGTTACATAACATTTGAAAATTAATCATAACAGTGATGTCTTGGAGACAACTGCTTTATCAGTTCATTACAGTCCTATCTCTGCTACGATGGAAGTAGTAATCATCCTCCCTTGCTGCAAATACTGATGTTCTTTGATGCTTTTGGGTGCAAATTCAACACGAACCAACATCGGCCAACCAATAAAAGACTTCAAAAAAATAAATAAATAAAATATCATAATTACACATTGCAGGCATCAAAGCAACCATGTATAATAGCAGCACAGGGCTCGTTTGGCAACCATTTCCATTTTTCGTTTTTGTTTTCATTTTTGTTGTGGAGTGTGCTCATTTGTGATTGGAAACATACTTGGTAACATAAAATTTGTTGCCAGATTTTTGGAAGCAAAAACATGAAGACAGGTTTATCGTTTTGTAATGTTTCAAAGTTGTTGCATGATTGAAAGTCAAATGGAGAGTAAAGGCCTGCTAATTTTTTGGTACTGTTCACCGCTACAGTGTTTTCTACAAATTAGGATCCCCTCCTGTTGAGGGGGTCCTGTGGTGATGTCCTGTGCCTCAAAACTAAGCATTTTGAGGCACAACAAATCACCATTATTATGAAAGATTTAATAGAGGAATTAGTGGAGAAATCTTTTAGTAATTAATGTTGTTTCCTATTATTAAAGATTTGGTGTTACTAGAGGAATCAGTGGATAAAAATCCTCCTTGTCTCCTATTTTCTAATTATTTCCATTCTCATAATTTCGTCTCCTATTTAAAGGAGCCTCCACCATTGTATTGTATATGAATTGAGAGAGTATTATAAAAGTGATGTAGCCCTTTGGGCTCTTCTTGCCTTGGATGTAGGTCCTAGTGGCTGAATCACGTAATATCTGTGTATTCTACTTATTTTATTTTTCTCTTCGCTTCCGTTTTATACTTTGCAACATAGTATCAGAGCCAATTTCTCTTCTTAGGTTCGGACCCCTATTTTGGGATATTCCCTTACCATCTAAAATGCTGCTAAGGGTTTCTTGGTACTATTTGTGACTTGTTTAGGCTGCCGGTTTATTCAGCAGTAATGTTCTTCAACTTTGTTGCATCTCCGACAGTTTTTTATTAACTTATTTGGGCTGCTGGTGTGTTCGGTAGCATTGTCTTCGTCTTTGCTGTGTCTTCGGCAGTTTTTATCGACTTGTTTGGGGTGCCGATGTGTTCAGTAGCATTGTCCTCACCTTTGCCGTGTCTCCAGCAGTTTTTTGTTGGGTTGTCTGGGTTGTCGGTGTGTTTGGTAGCATTGTTCTTCGTCTTCTCTTCTCTCTCTTCATCATTCACACTTGTTACTTGTCATCTCAATGGTAAGTTGAGCATTCATGCTCTGAATTGAGGGGGAGTATTGAAGATTTAATGGAGGAATCAGTGGAGAAATCTTTCAGCAATTGATGTTGTTTCCTATTTTCTAATTCTTTCTATTCTCATAATTTCTTATAATTTCTTCTCCTATATTGTTAGAATATTTTGGGTCATTATGTAATTACATATAGTTGGTAGGGTCATTGTGTAATTAGCTAAGTCTTGTATCTTTATATAAGCCACTATAGGCAGGATTCTGTATGTATGAAATACACATTGTGTAGCCACCATGTTCTCTCTCTCTTTCTCTCTCATTAGTTTGAACATGGTATCAGAGCGGTACGAAACAATGGGAAACTAAGATTGTGGTTGTGATTGCATCTGTGGTGTTCTTCTACAAATCAAAATCGAGATCGAAGTCGATTCTGTTCTTCGCAGAAGGTTTGGCCGTCGTTCTGTTCGAGCCGGAGGTTTGAAGCTATCGTTGTGTTCAGCGCTTCTTGTCCGTCGTTCTCAGATCTGAAGCCCGACTGTTGCAAGTTGCAGAGGTTCCATCATCGCGAACCCTCTCTGCTCGGTTGCTAAATCGCCACTTGTGTTGGGTTGCCACCACCACCACCACCGAGCAACATCTCCTTTCCTCCTTTTAATCTTCAAAATTCAAATCTATTTCCATTCAATCACAATCACAAACCCAAATCCTTTTTTGCACAGCTCTTGTTCCAATCAACCCTCAAACTAAACCAATGTGATGAAAATTAATTGAAAAAAAATCGAAGGGGCTTTCAACAAAGAAGACCCATTGGTGATTTATATATACATATGTATATATATATATATATATGTATATATATATATATATATGTATATATGTATACCTAAATACTAAATATTTTACATGCTTACAGTTACAACTAAGTTGATACATAAATATATTTATCCCCATGTATAGTCAATAGTTAAATCACAAATGGATCTTTAGTTTCATCAACCTTCCAGACCACTGATTATCTTTCGTCCAAGAAGGAAAAAAAAAAAAGAAAAAATATATATATCAAGATCAGATTTTATTATTATTATTATTATTTTTTTTACCAAAGGACCAATTGGCCCACCCCTTCCTTTGGGGAGGTCGGGGGTTCGAATCTCGGTGGAGGTAGGGTGTGTGCGTAATTGCTTTAACTTCAGGGAATAAAAAAAAAAAGATCAGATTTTTTTGATGGGTGGGCAAATAACATGGAAACCCAAATTGAATAGAAGTAACACGATTTTATATGAGTGTATATATGGGTTTATATATCTTAATTCGTGGTTCTTGTTAAAATTGGGTTAATACATATGAGTTTAGGTGCACAACATACCAAGATATATGACTCTACATATATGGTGGCGGTGGGACTGTAGGAGGTTGAGAGGTTGCGGCCGTGATTGGAGGGTGGTGGACAGAGTCGGTGGCCATGGTTGGGGTTGGTGGTTGAGAGGGGGTGGCCTTGATGGTGAGAGGCGGTAGCCATCGTCAGGACCCCCTCAACAGGAGGGGATCCTGATCTGTTTTTCTATAGTGCGAAAACATTAGGAAACGCCAAATTTTGGGCCTCTTTCCGGCGACAAATTTGATACTATTCAAATGGCAACAACCGATTACCAAATGTGTTGCAGTGTTTTGCTTCTCGCTACAGTACACCACCCACAACACAAAACAACCAACAAACACACTTGCCAAACAGGAAGAGAACACAATTCATTTCAGTTAACCAACTTAACCCCAACAAGCGAAACAGAGTAACGATTATTTAATTTCTGTAAAGTTACAGCCATGACAACTCAAACACTATTAACTCAATATGAAAGAAATCTGCAAAACAATTTTTACCTAACAAGTCGGAAAGCAGACATGGTCATCAGAGATGACCCAAGCACAAGAAAAGCATCACATTCTTTTGCAGCTTCCATTGCTTTATCAGCTCTATCCTTGGGAACATTATCACCAAAGAAGACAACCTACAAAGTTATTTAGTACATAAGAACATCTACATGATCACCTCCAAATTCTTTCGGTGTAATATAATGAAATGAGAATGCATTCTCAGAAGCTAGTATTGACTGACATAATGAAATGAAATCAAAAGTATCCAAATAAATTGAGCAATAGATGAGCCATTGGAAAATTAAGGATCTCTTTGTTATTTGAATCAATAAATAAATCATACCTAATTTATAAAAGAGTTTTAAAATTATCCATAAACATACAAACTAGAAAATATTATTCCCAAAGGAAGCTTACATCCATGTTTCTTGCATTGGGATAATAAATCAAACTAACTTGGAAAAACTTGCAATCTGTTCTCAAGGAGGAAGCCCAAAGGAATTAAAATTTTCAACATATCCATTATGCATATTTTGTCAATCATAGGACACTGCTCCCCCTACCCCACCCCCCTCAACCAACACTCCTCCTCCTCCTCCTCCTTTGAAAGGTCACAATCGAAAGCCCTGTGCTTCTATGCATCATGTTTGACATAAAATAAAGAAGGGCCAAGTGCTGGAACATTAAGTAGTCAGCATATGCATTAAACATCCTAGAGAGGCAGATTAAAGTTTCTGCATAAAGTACAACAAAGAAATGTACACCTGGAATGTAGCTCCGATACCTTCAAATGTGTGTGCCACTGGGAAAACAACCTATTTAAGAATTCTAGCATTTATTGCATGCATTTACAGTGTTTCCAAACAATTGCATAGTACAAAACTGCAACATCACCCTATGCTGCCTAGTATTCAAAACTAATGTGTACACAAGCACCATAGCAGTGCAGTTATCTTTTGGAAAATAATAATATTTTGTTCAAGGGAAAATTACACTGACCTCCTTTGATGATTAGCAAAAATACACATGGTATACTAATGTTATCAAAAATTACTTTGACCTAAACTTTTGTGTTTTGGAAAAACTTCAAGCCACCTCCAACACCACAACCATCTCGTGGGTTAAAAGTTGACAGTCGGTCAACATCTGAAAGTGCTGGTGTCAGAAAAAAAAAAAAAAAAAAAAAAAAAAAAAAATTCTAATTCCAATTTTACTCTCAAATGTGTGGAAAGACTATATTATCCTCCAGCATTGTGAAATCACATGTTTATCCATATTATAAGATTAACAAAAAGGCAGCATTGCCCTTGGCCAAATCTAGTTATTTACCCAAACCACATTTTCAAGTTGTATAGCAATAAATGATTTCAATTAATTTATTACAATTACTGTTAACAACCCATCTACTCCAAAAGCTTAAGCTTTTAGATAGGGTGTAACTTAAATATATGAATCATTCAACACGCCCCCTCAAGTGTGGCCTTCTTTTTGGTGCAACACGTGTTTTTCAATTTTTTGAACAAGAGACCTTTGGCTCTGATACCATGTTAACAACCCATCTACTCCAAAAGCTTAAGCTTTTAGAGAGGGTGTAACTTAAATATATGAATCCTTCAATAATTACAATTCTATATTATTATATAATTAATAAATTATAATTACAAAATTAATCTAATCCAATAACAGATTTAGTAAGAAAATAGTTTTAGAGGGGGAGAGTTGAAAAAAAAAAAAAAATTGATTGAGAGAGGATTAAAGGGATTTGTATAAAAAAAGAAAAAGAAAAAAGAAGAAGAAAATACTGGTTTCTTCTTGTCAACCTTCTCATATGCTTCAAACCCAACCCCCCCCCCCCCCCCCCCCCCCCCCTCTCTCTCTCTCTCTCTCTCATGCTTTTTATTTTTTCTAAGTTTCCCCTTTAATTCTGTACTGATAATCATTTTCAATGGCCATCTCCAGTTTGTGATTGACTAGGTAATTTTATTCAAATTCCTCAAAAGTTCTAAGATTTGAGAAAGAGAAGAGAACAACTGCCTACTTCCATAGTTCAGTACCAGAAGAGATGTCGTGCCAATGCTCTACCTAAGGGAACCTTTTGCTCAGTTCTTATCGGAAACACCAGTCCTTTCCAGTAATATGATAATGTACATGAATTACCCAGCTCCTTCCGTGCCATATCCCGATTCAATGTGTGGGAATTCCCAGCAGCAGCAGAACAGCACACGGGTGTTCAGAATTCCCACACAGCAAGAAATTTTATCAAATGTTGGTGTGTAATGAATTGTGGAGCATGATCAGAATGTGATCTATGAAGTGGTTAACATTTCTGCAGAAGGCAGGTGAATGCAAAGGGATTGGGGCCTCCCAGATTCAATTTTCAAACCGTGATTGTGTATGGAGTCTGAACCAAAGCCTTCGAAGTGGGAGATGATGGCGATGGACGAGAGAGAGAGGTGGTGTGGATAAGAAGAGAGGAATCAGAAAGGAGGTGAGTAGGTTTAGGTTATATATGCATATACGTATGTATGTGTTAAATTGTTTGGGAGTTCAAACAGAGATATCGAAAAAGAAAATGGTGACTTAATTTTAGATTTTATTGTCTTTTCAACTAAAAATAACATTAAGAAAAAAACGGACACACTGGTAATTTCATAACTTCCATTAACAGAGTCAACAAGCTCTGATAGGGAAGGCACTATAATTTTTGTACAGTTATCGTCATGGCAGGCCAGTGCAATTTACCCTATATTTAACTAGGGAGATTTAAGGCATTTTCCAAAATTCACTAACATAAATTTTTTTTTCTTTTTTTTTTTTTTTTTTTTTTTTCGATAAGTAAAAAATTTTATAAAAAAACACTCAGAAGGGGAGCGGAACCCAAGCAAAAACAAAAGACCACAAAGGCCTCAAGCCTACAAAGAGGCTAAAAAATCAACTACTTCCTCCAAAGAACAATGATCTCTTCCTGAAACCCAACAAAAAAGAGTAGAAATAATCGAGAATTTAAGCACCGAAATTGACAAAGCCTTTCCTTCAAAGAATCTCCTATTCCTTTCAAGCCATAAACACCACCACACACAAGCGGCGTAGCCCTCCACGCATCCTGACTGAGAGCCCCCACAGGGCAACCTCTCCACGCCTCAATCAACCCTCTAGCAGATCCAGGCATAACCCAAGAAAAACCAAATAAGCCAAGCATCAAAACCCAACACTCTCTAGCCAAAGGGCAATGAATAAGAAGGTGATTCACAGACTCCTCATCACTAAGACACATAGAGCAACGGTTGACCACCACCTGGCTTCTCCTTCTCAGATTATCCTGGGTTAAAATCCTACCCAAGACCGAAGTCCACACAAAGAAAGCCACCTTAAGAGGAGCCTTGGATCGCCAAACAGACTTCCAAGGGAAACGAACTCCAGAAACAAAAGAGAGGCACTTGAAGAAAGATCTCACCTCAAAGCGCCCCTGAGAGTTTGCAATCCAAGACCAACAGTCCGAATCCAGCTCCACAATCCTCTGGCGATATAACAACTCCAAGAAACGAATGACCTCCTCAATCTCCCAATCCTGAAAGGAACACCTGAATCGAACATCCCAAACCAGTCTTCCATTATCAAGATGATAACAGTTAACCACCATGGCTTGCTTATCCGTAGCAATCCTGTAAAGCTGAGGAAAGACGAGGGCAAGAGGCACATCTCCACACCACACATCCTCCCAGAAGCGAATCCTCCTCCCATCTCTGAGACGAAACCGAATGTGCTTGGAAAAATCATCCCAACCCTTCCGAATAAATTTCCAAACCCCCACCCCCCGAGGATCTCTAACTTCCAAAGAACTCCACCCTCCTCTCATTTCCCCAAAACGACATGCCACAACCCTCCTCCAAAGCCGATGTCTCTCCACCCCAAACCTCCACAACCATTTCCCAAAGAGGGCCTTATTAAAGGGCCCCAATTTACGGAGACCTAACCCACCATTGCGAATTGGCCTGCAAACTTGGTCCCATCTCACCCCCCCCCCCCAAGAAAATTACGCTGCAACCTCTCCATCCTTTCCGCAATTGAAGAGGGAATCTGGAAAAGAGAGATAAAATACTTTTTAATGCTACTTGGAGTTGTTTCCTACAGAATAACCATTAGCAAAATCAAGGATACTTATGCATGACATGTTTGTAAGTCACTCAAGAATGCACCAGAGGAAAAGTTTTTCTTTTTTGTTTTTATTAATATGAATGGATCTGCATCTGTAATCCTTTTGTCTGTAAATTTCCAGTTGCGTTTGAGTTATTTAAGAGAGAAATTTTTTATCATTAAGCATTGACAATTTATAATGCATCTCTTTTCAGCATTAGCTATTGGCATCACAAGTGATAAACACCAGCTGCTGTCATTAATAAGAGTAGAAATATAAAAAGACGATAAATGAGAGAATTGTGGAAAGACTTGAATGAGATTAATCACTCATTCACAGCTCTAGTATTTATAGATAAAAAGAGCACATGCTCATATTACAAGAAAGGAAACTAAATCAAATCTAATTAAAATCACAACATATTCTAAAACATATTCTATGACATATTATATAGCATAATCAAATCTTTGATAATATGGTAAGTCATTTCATAAATCGTGGCTATCATATATGCTAACACTCCCCCTCAAGTTGGTGCATGGATATTTGAAACCGCCCAAATTGGACAATGCATTTTCAACCATAATCTTGCTGATGCTGTTTGTAAGAATGTCTGTAAGCTGCTGAGAGCTTGTGACAATAGAGTGCAAATTTGACTAGAGATGATCTTCTCTCGAATGAAGCGACGATCAACAAATCAAAAATGTCTCCTCAGACCGTAAACAACCAACAATGTCTCCTCAGACCGTAAACAACCAACAATGTCTCATCAGACCATTCCCCTTCACATATTTAAAACATGTAGATGGAAGAATCAACAATGTCTCCTCAAACCATTCCCCTTCATACATATGTTTAAACAATGTAAAAGAAAGAATCAACAATGTCTCCTCAGACCATAAAAAACGAAACAATTATGTCCCCTCAGACCATTTCTAAATAGGTGGTGCCAAACTCGTAACGCTCTCATTGAGGTCGAACCACCCTGCCTATCTGACACTTCCCAGATGGGCGATGTCACCTTAGACCATTCCCAAATGGGTGGTGCCGAACTCGCAATGCCCTCATTGCAATCGGACCACCTTGGCTTTGCTACCAAGTAGAAATATAAAAAAAAGAAAAATAAGAGATTTGTGTAAAGGCTTAAATGAGATGGATCATTCATTCACAGCTCTAGCATTTATAGATAAAAAGAGCACATGCTCATATTACAAGAAAGGAAACTAAATCAAATCTAATTCAAATCACAACATATTCTAAAGCATATTCTATGGCATAATCAAATTCTTTGCTAATATGGTAAGTCATTCATAAATCGTGGCTATCATATATGCTAACAATAAGTGACCAATTTCTTTTGGAACGAGCATACATGCATCTACTGAAATAATAGACTTTAGACTGCATCTCACAAGAGAAAAATGTCTTACATCAGGTTTGAGCACTCCATTGCATTTAGGGCAGGATGGGATGTGAAACTCTTCCTCCCAGAATTTTTCATCAATCTCAATATCACCATCAGGCCTTTGCTTCATGCCAAAGCTCTTGTCCGACTGGCTGTCATAATCCAAATTTTCAATTGCTGTTGCCCACTGCAGGAAATCATTATTTTCTTACTTCAATTACTCATCCCAAATAGCAGCCCATCAAATTGAAATATGAGTCTATAGGAAACCAAAGTTTATACCATTCCAAGGTAAACATTAGGATAAAGCACTTAAAAGCAAAAAGCAGTAAAAACAATATGTGTGTATGAATGATTCACAGTTAGATTCCCAGAATAAAGACAGACGAGACTGAATAACATGATAAGGAGATGTTACCCAAAGATACATAGCATATAATGATGTTTCTGTATGCTGTGAGGAGATAGGCCTATTCAATTGGCAGTCCTACTTCTGAATTCTACCCAGTTATTTCTACTTATTAGAAACCAAACCTCCAATTAAAATTTAAGATTACAGATTTTTTTGACAAACTGCCTTTTGTGTTGCCAATAAAGGCAAGAGTAGAGAAGAACAATCAATCTTCATATTATCGAGTATATACCATTTGCTGCGCACAAAAACATACAAACTTCCACTGAACTTGGCCAAATACAACTCTTTTATTTAGTAGAACTAATTTCTCATTCTTTCATAAGCCAGTCAATAAGACCAAGTGATGAAGACCAGCACCTTAAAGTACGTGTTTAGGAAAGGAGAAAAAGAAGAAAGGTTCCTGTGGACCCCACCAATTGACTTGTGTGGCACAATTGGTGTCATGTGATTAGCAAGTACTTTTAGTTGGGGTTGGTTAAGTCCACTGGGCCTGATACCTTCTGCTTTGGAAGAATAAGATTCTCCACAATAAGGATACCTTTGGTAATTTTATAGATTATTGTAAACTTTTAGTAATTATATCCATGCTCCATGTCCAGGTGAGTAATTGTTAATTATGGTTTATATCAGTCCGATGAGGTACCCACTATTCGGAGTACCCTCCAGAAAGGAAAAAGGATGTGTTTGTCATGTTCTGTTATTCTTAGTTTGGTTGGGTGGGTTCGACCAGAATTGTGAATGCTTGCACACAGAATATACTCTTCCTGAAAAGCTTTGCAGGGACTCCTTTACAAAGACAGACGACCGTCCAAAGGGGGTTTACTGCACAAACAGGTAATCTTTATCATTAAGGAGTTTCTAAGGTGAAGAGTGTTCATTTTTGTGTTAGCTATGCTTCTAGACAAGCAGCTCTTGCATAGCCATTTCAAAACAAAGTTTGACTAGTATTATTTTTTGGAAAAAAAAAATATATCACTAAAAAGAAAATAATCTTACAAATTTTAGCTGTATTTGAATGGTGCGACTCTGTTAATTTCTTCTAGCTGAGACTTCTGGAAGGCCTTATAGATATTCTAAAGGCTCTTTCTCCTTTTATCTATAATTCCTAGCACTGTTGTGCGTAGTTAATGCTACAACTAGCCGTTTCAATCACCCTAATCTAATCCCCCAAAGCGTATCCCTTTGACAATAGAACCCTAGTCCCAATTGCCAAACCGATTCAAGCTCAATAACACCAAGTTTTCCTTTCTGTCCGAAATTCCAGCAAGCTTTTCTTTTTAGTCTCTCGCCTAAAATAGCCTTTTTTTTTTTTTTTTTTAATTTTTATAAGTAAAGATATATTAGAAAAACGTTCAAAAGGGGAACGTGTCCCTAATACCAAAAAAACGAAAAGCAGAAGCCAAACCTACGGACCAACAGAGTCCAATAGAACAAAAAAATCATCAATCGAGGAGCAAACGCTGCCTCTAACATAACAGAAAAGAGAGCGTAGAATAAGAGACTAAAGGTTTGCAAAAGACAATTCCTTCCCTTCAGAGTGTCTGTTATTTCTCTCTCTCCATATACACCACCAAACACAGTGTGGGGCGATCCTCCAAAAATCACGAGCATGACCAAAAACAGGGCATCGTCTCCAAGCATTAATTAATTGGAAAGAGTGCTTAGGCATTACCCACTGAACACCAAAAATGCCGAATATGAGATTCCAGCAATTAGTTGCAACAGGATAGTGCATAAGGAGATGGTCCACGGACTCACCATCAGTTTTACAAAGGCAGCAACAGTTAACAATGATAGTACCTCTCTTACGCAAATTATCCAATGTTAGAATTTTTCCCCAGGTAGCTGTCCAAACAAAGAAGGCAACTCTAAGAGGAGCTTTAGATCGCCAAATACACTTCCATGGGAAATCATGTCCAATAAAATTAGACAAACACAAGAACAAGGATCGAACTTCGAATCTACCATGGAGAGAGGGGGTCCACAAAATATCATCACAACCTCTGCCAACATCCTTCTGTCTATACAACAGGTCCAAAAAGACACAAACTTCAGCTATCTCTCAATCCTGAAAAGAAGCCTAAACCACACATCCCACGTAACTCCACTGTTATCAAGATGATAACAGTCAATTACGTAAGCATGCTTATTCTCGGCACTGCTAAAGAGACGAGGAAAGGAACGAGACAACAACTGATCACCACACCATAAATCTTCCCAAAATCTAACATACCTACCATTTCGAACCTTGAACCGAATATGGGTGGAAAACACATCCCAACCTTTCCGAATAAACTTCCAAATGCCAACGCCCCCGGTAACAGAAACAGGACGGGAGGACCAACCTCCACTCTCCTCCCCAAAACGACACGAGATAACTCTTCTCCATTGACGATGACGCTCTTTACCGAATCTCCATAACCACTTCCCCAATAAGGCTCTATTGAAAGGGATCAACTTCCGGATGCCTAAACCGCCAAACTTCAACGGTAGCCTTAAACTTAAATCAATCCAACTCTTATTTAGTCCTTAACTCAATCTTACTTTCTCAACCAAAAAGACCTACAGTTAAATCCTTAGTCCAAAAAGTTTAATCATAGGGTAACTTCAATTCTCTTGCTTATAAAGACCTATAGTACTTTTACTCTTGTTCGGTCCTTACCTCAATCTTACTTGATATCGATTTTTGCTCCACAGTTTCTTTAGCAACCTAATTAAAGGTGAAATATTTGTCACTCCTTGGCACTTTCAGGTTACACACCCTATGACAGCCTGGCACCTTCAAATTCTATCAACTGATATTTCATGCCACAACAATCAGGTCTTCTAAATGCATTAGTGAACTATCTTAAAATATCACCAACTTAGTAGGAATGCCATATTCTTTGAAGGTGTTCTGGAGTGCATCAATTTGTATCTTAAAAATTGATAAGAGAGTGACAAATCACTGGATCTGGACAATGGGATTAAAAATTCATTATTTGTCATGTCACATCAAATTCATAATCTTGTGACAAGATCACAACCTCATTGTAATCTAACATCCATCATAACCACAGCGATTTGAGGTTCATTGATGTGAGATATGATATCAACATAATAGTTTATGCAGTCAGAATTCTGAAACATAAAATTGTACATCAAAAGACTAACCTTTGGATTAAGGGCCTTTACTTGGTCTTGAAATAGATGCCGGCAAAGAGAAAAACCACAATCTAAACAAATTACATTATAAACAGTCCCATGTAATTCAAGTGGGTCACTTCCAGCTCGATGATGCAGCCTGGAAAACACAATGATGAATTAGCCACATTAGGCTTGTTCATGGCACCAGCAGAGATTCAAAAAGTGGATGTGGAGCTTCTTACCTGTCAACATTTTGTGTAATCATAAAATTTATTCGGCTGGCGTTTTCAAGAGATGATAAGGTAGTATGAGCTGCACCAGGCTGTGCAGCAGTAAACTTTCTCCACCCAGCATAGCTCCTTGCCCAATACCGCCTTCGAGCCCGGATTGAACGGAGAAACTCCTGTTCATGGAAGATAAGATGATATTAGAAGTTCAAATATGGTGTTCAAGCCAGAGAACATAAATAAGAGCAACTATTAGAAAGCATTATTTCATATTTAATTTTTTTTTTTCTTTTCCTAATTCACTACTTCATATTTGATTAATCTTACCTAGGCTTCGTTCAGTAGGAAAGAAGAAAATTGGATGGAAGGAAGAGAAGAAGTGAAGGATGAGACATCCCTAGGGAAGAGATTATGAACTTCTTTCATTTTGTTCAGTTGAATGGAAGAGGAGAAGAAGCTCACAACTTAGTTTGTTTGTTAGGAGAGAAGGGAAAGAAAATTTTAAATTATTTTTACCATTATACCCTCACTATTTTTTACCACTTTTTAAAACTTTTATTATGTGATAAGTACGATTAAATTTGTCGTTTGTCATATATATATATATATATAATGATATTTCATTATGAAAAAAAAAAAAAAAAAAGGAACGAGAAGCAGGTGGTGTCTCTGCGATAATTGAAATTTGTAGTGACTGGACTAGGTTTGGGGACTTTTGACGATACTTTTGCATTAGTCCTCTTAATCCATGCACCCCCAGCCATTGCAGGATTGACTTTCATTGGAAAACTGTTTTCTCCATTATTCCTTTCTTTCAGAGCCACCATAATGTTTTTATTTATTTATTTATTTTTTTATAGTTTTTGGTCGCTTAACTTCAGCCGTGGATCAGTCAATTGGTCATCATCAAAGGTTCATCACCTCCTGTTTATCAACTTTGATTACAGCATCTCACCTAATTTAATATATTCATAAACAAACATTAGACATATAGTGGGCAATTGCTCAATCATATTTAGTCGTATAAATAAAGAACATCCAAGATAAAGCCCAAATTCTCAATAAACAAGAAACCTGGTCTATTTATGTGTATAGAGTGACAGCAAGAGACTGACCACATTTATATGTAGATTTGTGTATGTGTTAGATCGAGTGAGAGCAAGAGAGAGTTTGCTACCTGCATCACAGAGATTGCTGAGAGATTCGATTGACAGAGTCCAACTAAGGAGAGTACTTCTCGATAGGGTTTTGCTTGAGATGAAATTGTGGAGTTTACTAATATTTGTGAAGGATAATTAAGTAATTTGAACTTTTTATAATAGCCCACTTATTTTCTCTCCTGTCTTCCGCCCAAATTTGGGCGGATGAAAATTTGTAAAGGAGGAGGGATGATCATCCCTCCTATTTTCCTTTCTCTTCGTGTCTCATTCCTACCGAACGAATGAATTTTGTTCCTTCTCTCCTATTTTCCCTCCACCCATCTTCTCTCCTTCCTAACGAACAAAGCACTAATGTAGAACATTTGATATTCATCAAAATTTTAAGGGAAAAATAGAGGAATGGACATGTAAAATTACATTAAAGATAAAACCGCAGAGTTTAACTTAAAATCAAGATAACGGAGTATGCTGATGCAATTTAGGCATTTATCACTATGATGTTCCTGATTGTGAATAGAAATGTGTATGTAATAAGCAATAAAAAATCAATGTCCTTGCTTTCCAAATAACAAAACAGCAGGTGTTTCCAGGAGCAATTTCCCAGATCCAATTTCGAGATTCAAGCACACATGTAAGTAATTTCTGAACCATTTTCATTTTACCCAAAAATCGGTCAATGTTATTGTTTGGTCAATAGGACTTATGCTGGCAAATTTCATCGATCAAACCTTAAGTCTAACTTTTTAAAGAAATATATGGGAGAAAAAACTTCTATGATATTATTATTGTTATCTTTGGAATAAGTGAATTACTAGAATAAATAGGAGAGGAAACCTTCACAATTAGGTTAACCAACTCCTTGATTCTAGGAAGTAAAATAGGAAACTAACTAATAGAAATCTTGGAGATTTGGATACTAATTATCTTCGTCTCTTTATTTGAAACTAACAAAATCTGCTAACTAAAGCTGCTAACTAATTATCTTGGAATTTCCACACTCCCCCTCAAGCTGGGCAATATATATCAATCATTCCTAGCTTGGAAAGAAGGATTTCAAAGCGATCTCAGTTAAGAGCCTTGGTGAGGATGTCTGCGGTTTGAAGACTTGAAGGAGTATAGATCATCTTGATGACTCCCTGATTGATCTTTTCTTTGATGAAGTGCCGATCAATCTCAACATGTTTAGTTCTGTCATGGTGAACTGGATTTTTAGCAATACTGATAGCAGCTTGGTTGTCACACAACATCTTTATTGGACTTTCAGTAGGGAATTTCAATTCTTCTAGGAGTCGTTTGAGCCACATTCCTTCACATATTTCAGGTGCCATAGCCCTGAATTCAGCCTCAGCACTGCTTCGAGCAACTACAGACTGCTTCTTGCTTCTCCATGTAACAAGATTTCCCCACACATAGGAACAATAGCCTGAGGTAGATCTTCAATCAGTTAGGGTTCCTACCCAGTCGGCATCTGAGAAAATTTCAATGCTACGGTCTGTCCCCTTTTTAAAGAACAGCCCTTTCCCTGGAGTCTTTTTGAGATATCTGAGAATCCTATAAACTGTTTCAAGATGTTCATTAGTTGGATTGGTCATAAACTGACTAACCACACTGACAGGAAAACTGATATCCGGTCTTGTGTGAGATAGGTAAATGAGTTTTCCCACCAATCTTTGGTACCTCCCTTTGTCAACTGAAGTAGAACTCTCCTTTATGTCCAGTTTGTTGGAAGGGTCCATAAGTGTTTCTGAGGGATTACAACCGAGCATACCTGTTTCTTTGAGCAATACCTTTGAGAGACAGAAATACCTTTGCTGGATCGAGCCACTTCCATGCCAAGAAAATATCTCAATGTACCGAGATCCTTGATTTCAAACTCTTTGGCTAAAGTACTCTTTAACCGACTTATCTCTTCTTCATTATCACCTGTCAAGATAATATCATCCACATATACAATAAGGATGGTAATTTTCCCTTCAGGAGACTTCTTGATAAATAATGTGTGATCTGACTGGCCTTGAGTGTATCCATGCTTCTTGACCACTATGGTAAATCTCTCAAACCAGGCCCTTGGTGACTGCTTAAGGCCATAAAGAGATTTCTGAAGTTTGCAAACACGGTTGATATTGCTTGGGTTCTCAAAACCAGGAGGAATCTCCATGTAGACTTCATCTTCCAAGTCTCCATTATGGAATGCATTCTTGACGTCAAGTTGATGAAGAGGCCAATCCAAATTGACCGCCTAACTTAGCAACCGGAGCGAATGTTTCTTGATATTCAATCCCGTAGATTTGAGTGAATCCCTTGGCTACAAGTCTCGCCTTATATCGGTCAACACTTCCATCTACCTTGTACTTAACATTGAATATCCACTTGTATCCCACAGGTTGTTTGTCTTTGGGAAGTTCTGTGAGTTCCCAAGTACCATTCTTCATAAGAGCCTGAATTTCTTCACTAATTGCTTCCTTCCATTTAGGGTGCTTTAGAGCCTCTTGTATGCAACTTGGAGTGTCTATGCTGGACAGATTCGAGGTAAAAGCGTGGTAACAGGGAGACAATCTCTCATATGTCACAAAGTTTGAGATCGGGTGCTGAGTGCATGACCTAACACCTTTCCTTTGAGCAATAGGAATATCAAGATCATTACTAGGATAAGAATCTGTGTTACCTTAAGTAAAAGTGACTGGATTTGAAGCGGACGCTTGGTTCTGTTCAGGAAAAGTGAGTAGATCCACCTCCTTTGGAGCTGTCTGCTTTCTTGAGTAAACAATCCCTTTAAATATTTTTGATTTTTCTTGTTGAGTCAGAATTTGAGGACTGTTTAGAGTGGGTTCGGAATGAACAAGACTGTTTGGAGTAGGTTCGGAATAAACAGGTTTGGATGTTGACTCAAGCAGGATAGGCGTTGAGGTGATGTAAGGCACGGAGATATCCACATCTTGCCAAAACTAATATTCTTCTAGCACGATAGAATTCTCCCCCTGAATATGAGTTTTGGAATAGAAAGGTTGATTCTCAAAGAAAGTTACATCCATGGTGTTATAGAACTTCCGAGTAGTGGGAGAGTAGCATTTGTAACCTTTTTGGTGAGAGGAGTATCCGAGGAATAGGCATTTTATGGCTGGGATCTAGTTTGCCCTTTTGATGAGGTTGTATGTGGACAAATGCTGAGCAACCGAAGACTTTTAGTGGCAAGGATGAGATGAGTTAGGATTGTGGGTAGACTTGTGTGAGTACTTGGCATGGAGTTTGGAATTTCAAGACTCTTGAAGGCATCCGATTAATGAGATAGGCAGCGGTAAGGACAGCTTCCCCCCCGAAGTGTTTAGGGATATGACTTGTGAACATAATAGAACGAGTAACTTCTAAAAAGTGTCGGTTTTTCCTTTCGGCTATCCCATTTTGCTGTGGGGTGTCTATGCAAGAACTTTGATGAACTATCCCATGATCAAGAAAGTAATTCCCAAGAATAGAATGAAAGTATTCCTTGGCATTGTCAGTTCTGAAAATCTGAACTTTGGCTTGGAATTGTGTTTGGATCATTGAGTGAAATTTTTTAAAAATTGGTCCTGCCTTAGATTTTTCTTTCATGAGAAATACCCAGGTGATTCTAGAATGATCACCAACAAAGGAGATAAACCATCGGGTTCCTGTGATATTATTGACTCGAGAAGGTCCCCAAATATCGCTATGTATAACTGAAAAAGGATGTGATTCCTTATATGGTTGAATCGGATAAGAATTTCGAGTGTGTTTGGACAACTGACAGATTTCACACTGGAAAGACTCTGAATTTTTATTAATGAATAAAGTAGAAAACAACTTTTCAAGGTATATGAAACTTGGGTGACCTAATCGAAAGTGCCACAACATAACTACACTTTCATTATTGGAAACTGGAACCGAATTGGAATTCCTAACAGATTGACTCTCTACATAATGAACACTTTGAGATTGTTTTTCAAGTTGGTTATCACTCCTGAAGAGGTAGAGCCCTTCACTTTCCTTAGCATTGCCAA